TCCAGGCCCCGGAGCCCGCCCTGCTTTTTGGCAAGATCCGCAGAGGGACCTACGCCCTGCCCCGGAGCCTCTCCGCCCCGGCCCGCTGCCTGGTACGCTGCCTGCTCCGCCGGGAGCCCGCTGAGCGTCTCACAGCCTCGGGGATCCTGCTGCACCCCTGGCTGCGAGAGAACCTGACCCCCTCAGTCCCATCCCAAGCTCACCTCTGGGAGGCTGACCAGGTGGTCCCCGAAGGGCCAGGGCTGGAGGAAGTTGAGGCAGAGGAGGGAGAAAGGGAAGTGGTCCTGTATGGCTAGGACTACCCTACCCGACTCTCAGCTGTGAACTGTGGATTGAGTTTGGGGCGTCCCCAAGCTCTCTCCTGCCTCTGACCTGAGATAAACCCTACGTGCCTTGTAGGAGGGAGAAAAGAGGAGGCATGTTGAAGGGTGCTGCAGGCACGCCTGTGTGGTTCACACACCTGTTGGGAGCTCACTGTGTGCCTTGTTCCAGGTGCTGAGAACACAGCTGTGAACAAGAGACAGAACTCCTGCTCACAGGGCTGTCAGTCCTTTGCCATCCCCACAGGCCAGTGTCTGCACTGGGCTGGGTATAACCACTGCAGGTGACAGAGTCCACTCGTGCTGGCACCCCACGCTGCTGTCACGGACAGTCCCTTTCACAACCCACCCAGCTGCCTTTGTACGTTGCACCTCTGAGAAAGGGAAGCGTCCTGTGCCAAAGCCTTCAGGCCGCTCCCCTGCACCTGAGGCCCAGAGCCCAGGCCCTGCTGCGAATTCCACCCCAGCAGCTGTGTCCTCTTGGTCAGAGGGTCCTCCGTCCAGGCCTGAGCCAAGGGTCTGGGCTGGAAGGTCAAGAGTCCAAACTGTGAGGCGAGTCCTCATCCAGCTCAAGGAGTGGTTGGGAATGAGGGTCCAGGCCTGTCCACCACAGCAGCCGTGACCCGAGCTGCTGACTGGAGTTGGGGGGCAGGATTAGGTGGGTTCTGCCCCTGGCCTCCTGGAAAGTCCTAAGTCCAGTTCTGGGGACACCTGGGGTCCAGAACCCCACATCAGCACTACAGGTTTTGGATGCTCCGAGTATATATTTTTACCTTGTGCCTAATAAAGGAGTTATGGAATACTTTTATTGCTCCCAGGCGTTTCTTCTGGTCTCTCATCCGTTTTCCCAAACCAGCCCCACGGCGAGTCCTCTGCACTCCCTCCCTTTCTTCTGGAGCAGTGGTTCTCAACCTTGGCTGCACATTAGAATCACCTGGGAATCGTTTTAAAATCCTAGTTTCTGGGCCTCATCCTCCGGAAATTCTGTTTCTTTGTTACTAATGTTGTGACCCCACCCCATAACAAAGAAACAGAATTTCCGGAGGATGGGGCCCAGAAATCAGGATTTTAAAAACGATTCCCAGGGGATGCTAATGTGCAGCCAAGGTTGAGAACCACTGTTCTGGAGGCTATGGGTCTCACCTGGGGTCAATTTTGGCTGCGAGTACCTGAAACCCTGAGTCAAAGTAGCTTAAAGCAGAAGGAAACGTGTTCACACAAAGCAAGACGCCAACAGGAGGGTGGTTTCAGGGCTGGCTGATGCAGGAACAGCTCCCAGTCTCTGCCTCTTCGCTCTGTTGTCCCTGCTGTCACATTAGAGACATATGCCCTGAGGAAGAAGGAGGGTGGCGCTGTCTGTACTACTTGAGAACTCAGGGCCTGGAGTCGAGCTGCTTGGTGTCTCTGGGCCTCAGTCTGTTCCCTTCCTTGAGGCTGGGCCTGGAGCCTCCTCTGGCACTTGTCAGAGCAGGCCTTCCTGCTCCTGCTTCACCAAAGCCCTCATAACAGGGTTTCTCAGATGTGGTTGGGGTGGCCCCTGGGGTGCTTGCTTAAAAATGCAGATACTTGCTGGGCTGGTGTGGCTCAATGGTTGAGAGTAAACCTATTACAGACTAGAAGGTTGAATTCCTGGTTCAATTCCCGGTCAGGGCACATGGCCAGGTTTGGGGCTCAATCATCCCCAGTGCGGGGTGAGCAGGAGACAGTTGATCAATGATTCTCTCTCATCATTGATGTTTCTATCTCTCTCTCCCTTTCTCTCTGAAATAAATAAAAATACATTTTTAAAAATAAAAAGAAATGCAGGTCCTTGGACTCTCCCCAGACCTAGTGAGTCAGATGTGGGTTGGGGTGTGTGCGCGTGTGCGTGTGTGCGTGCGCACGTGCCTCCTAACAGCCTCTCGGTGATGGCTGTGCGTTCCAGTTGGAGAACCTCTGTAGGGGGAGAAATCCTGATTCCTTAGGGACTCAGAGCTCATTTCCGCTCCTTCTGTGTGCTTGACTCCCGCTCAGGTGTAAAATGGGGATAAAATCTACCTGCCTGTGAGGTTAGGATGGGGTCACATGTGTGGGAGGGCTTTATCAGAGGTCAAATTCTGAGCCACCACTACTGTCGTACCAGCTTTATGGGGAAAGACCTATAGCCTTCGTCCTCTCATCATTCTCTCCCCTTCCCTGCCTTTGTGGTTGTTCATAACACTCTGCACCACCTGGCAGAACATTCTAGATGTTTGTTTGTGTTAGTTTCATACTGTGTTTTGTTTGCAGTTGTGTCCCCAACTCCTAGAGTAGGGCCTGACACCCAGCTGCTGAATGACTGAATGAAAGTGGTGACTGTGTAGATCCTACATGCCTAGGGCAAAGCCAGGACACTTTTTAGGAATGGTTAATGTTTACTGTGAGCACATACCACATGCCAGGCATGGTTTTACGTGCTTTACATACATTATCTCATTTGACATGTGATAGCCAGCCTTGTCCTTGGTCCTTGAGGCCTGGTATCCATGCCCTTGTGTAGTCCCCTCCCACCCTGAGCGGGGCTGACCAGTGTCACTAATAGGAGACTGTGAAATGATGAAGTATGACTTTCTATGTTAGGCCATAAAATAGACTGTGGTTTCTGCCTTGATGCCTAGGATCATCTGCTCTGGGGAAAGCCAGATGCCATGTGACTAGGACACTCAAGTCACCCCAAGAAGAGGTACATGTGGTGAGGGACGTAGGCATCCTGCACTGACCAGCACCAGCCAGGCCTGTGAGTGGGCTTTCTTGAAAGTTCATCCTCCAGCCCCAATCAAGCTTTCGGATGACTGAGGCCCCAGCTAAAATCTTAACTGCAGCCTCATGAGAGACCTTTAGTCAAATGACATAAGAAACGACTCCCAAATTCTTAATCCATAGAAACTGTTGTTTTAAGCTGCTAAGTTTGGGGATAATTTGTTGCATATCAACAACCAATAACTGATACAGATCCTCACAGCAACCCTATGAGAGGGACCATCATGATCATCATTGTACAGAAGGAAAAACAGGCCCAGAGAGGGGGGATGTCTTGTCCAGAGTCAAACCTGAACCCAGGTTTGAATGACTGGAGTTTACATACTGGGATGAAGGGTGTCTGCCCTTGACGGGCCAAGGCTAAGACCAGAACAACTGAAAGAATATATCTGCCCAAACACAGATTTGTGCAGTTGAGCTCAGGGCTGCAGGGAACATGACCGTCATACACCAGCAGGGTCAGCAGGAGAAACAAGGCAACAGGAGTGCAAACGAGCAGAAACAGACACTCAGAGCTCAGGTTGCATATTATCGTGCACAAGTTATAAAACAAAAATGTTTACCAGCCGAAACCAGTTTGGCTCAGTGGATAGAGCATCGGCCTGCGGACTGAAGGGTCCCAGGTTCGATTCCGGTCAAGGGCATGTACCTGGGTTGCGGGCACATCCCCAGTGGGGGGTGTGCAGGAGGCAGCTG